GGGTCGTTGCAATATGCGTTTTTTGCTGCCTGTTGCAGCGCTCTAGCGCTGCACGGCAAAAACGCATAAAAATCGGTACAGTGGCCCTGCGCACACACAGACACATACACACAAACACACACACAGACAACCTCTCGTCAATATGCGTTTTTTGCATTCCATTGCTGCAAAAAATGTATAAAAATAACACAAAACCGAAAAAACAAGGAAGACCCAAATTTCATTTCAGAAATGTGGATTTTAGTCTTTTCATAAAACGGAGGCGAATGCAACAATCACCAGCAAGCTGTTCGTCAAGCGATGCAACACTATTGTACTAAAATTTCAACTTTGTATATTCTGTGGTTTCCGAGATAATAATTTACCCGCCAAAACTTTCAAGAGGTTGCAGGTAATATATGAAAGCGCGGGAACGCTGAATTTGAATGGGCTAGGTCAAGCGTGGGAAGGGGCCTACTACACTAAAATTTCAGCTTCGTATATTCAGTGGTTCCCGAGACAATAATTTACCCGCAAAAATTTTCACGGGGCCGTACATGTTACCCGCGGTCAGGAGAAAGCTGAATTTAAATTTTCTGGTTAGGACGTGAGCAGACATGCCCACAGAATTTCAGCCTTCTAGCTTCCGTGGTTCCTGTGACAATAACTTTACCCGCCCAAACTTTTACGGGGCCGTATCAGTTATCCGAGGGTACGGGAAGGCTGATTTTAAATTTGCGTGATCACACGTGGGTGGGAAACGCTCCACTAAATTTTCAGCTTCCTAGCTTTTGCGGTTCCGGAGTTGAAAATTGCAGACAAGTTGCTGCGGATACACATACACACAGACAACCCCCTGACAATATGCGTTTTGTACTGCTGTTAAACGGCACAAAACGCATAAAAATGAATGGATAAACCCTCCAACGCTAAACTTTTCCACAAAAACATGCCAGACCATTTAAACACCGTTAAAAAGAACCTGCTTTACGTTTCGTCTACCAGTTCTTAAAGCGAGAAACTTACAAATTCCTTCTTGTATTTTTCGCGTTTTTTGATCAATTCACATAAGATGCGAACACGCTCCAGGTCCTGCCTCAGGAAGCGAGTGCTATATGTTTCGATATCGTCCGGAGACAGCTGCATATCTTTTTCTGATCGTGGAGAACCGTCCGCCGTTTTCGGTTGTGTTTTACTGTGCTAAAATGAAATTAACTGTGAAATAAATGCAAGCGGACGTAAACAGAGGAACAAAAGAAAAATCGCAAGTATGAAAAATTCGTCGAAAATGACGATAACTAACGATCAATCGTCGTAACAGCGGTACTCCAAATCGTGATTTCCGTTTTATTGACCAATACGCAACAATAAAACGTAGCACAGCTTCACTTATGCCTACTCTGTCACGTATTCGCATCAGACTATAACAAAGTTTTGAAAAAAAAAAACCAGTTTTTGAAAATTAAGAAAAACACAAGTAGTGAAAAAGACATACGACTTTCGAAACAAAACATGCCAAGGGCTGTCAGATA